AAAAATAAGAGTGTCTATAAAAAGATTCACGTTGCGATGAAAAATTGTTTCCTCGATAATCGTTTTAATAGATAATAAAGATACTGAGAATGAATGAAAAACTAGCGGAATCGCGACGTGACGAAGGAAATAAAGTGTGATCCTTGATTAATCACCTGGAGCACAGGTAACGCGGTTTTCGACTCAAGTTTCTTGGGTTCGTAGTTTCCATCAACCACGTCGATCTCGGAGGTGTTTGCGGAGCTGTTGGACAAGGACAACAGCGGGCCAATCCGAGCCACGATCATCTTCATCTTCCTTCGACGCGCTATGGAAGACTCTGACGTCAGAGCTATGTTCTCTCCGTCGTCCTCCTCTTTCAACGAGCTGACGCTCTTCAACAATGGCTCGGACTTGGACAGAACGCTGGATGAAAAGACTGCTTCCTCGTCGCGGGACAACAGCCTCGATGACTTCTCCGCGTCGATGTGTGAACCCGAGCCCATTCTCCTCGGCAGTATCTCCTTTATTATTTGTTTCCCTTGCACGTCGCGGATCGCACCCTCGCTCGACGTCTCGTAATCTCCGTCTGTAGGCGTTTTCACAAGGATTTACGGATCAACGTCGACAACGTTGGAACACGGAATTTTCTAATTCGCGATATCGTTCTTTGCAAATTGTTGCAGAAGAAGAATCGGATCGGCAATTAATAATTCAGATGGTAATTCTACTTCCGAGGAATGCGACTTTGATAGGTTCTAGATTGATCGGTCGTATGATACTCTTCTGCCATTAATTTACAGACGAATATCATTTTAGAAAATACTGCGGACGTTGCTGTTTCGCGCGAACGAACGGAAGTCGGGCTGCGATCGTTATCGGTTATCGGGCCCATTCGACTAACGGCTGCTCTATAAACGCGTTAGCACCCGCATAGATCATTCCTAAACGATGCTCCTCGGCTATGATTAATAGCGAAACCGTAATATGTCGCTCGTCGGGCTTCTTCTTCTCGCGAGAAATTCTATCCACCGAAATTAATCATCTTTGACTTCTCCGCCTCAGATATGCTTCGATCGTCAACGGATACGATATTTCCCAGGGGGAATTTCCCGTTGCCACAATTTCATTCTTGCCGATTTTCGTTAAATTTCGACGAAGAATCGACGAGAGAAGGGAGACAAAGAGCAGGTGCAAACGTAAAATGATTATACAAATATTTCGCGAATCGAGTCATTTTATAAATTATTAATCGTTGCTTTTATTAATCGTTTCCATATATCCCCGCCATTGTTTTAAGAGAATTGCTAACTCGTTAGATAAAGATTCCACGCGCATCGCGCGCGCAGAGACGAAAACAGAGAAAGGAGGAAAGGGGAGGAGATGTAGCTGAGAAGCTACAAATACCTCCAGGGGATTAACGAGAACGAACCATCGGTCTCCGAAGCGCAAGTGGTCGTGCAGCTGACTCTGGCCTCGACTGACATCACGATCGAGATATAGGTTAGGCTATCGATACCGCCGCATCTCCGTTGCTCTCGCTCTGCCTCTCTTTACCACGGGTCTAGTCGCGTCGGTCAGAGGGACACGTGTCCTCGCGACCCTCTGCTACCATAATTCAAAGAGATCGTGGTGGAGATCGCGATGTTCGTCCGCGTACGCACGTGATCCAGCGCGATTTCGAGCAAGGCGGCCGACATTCGCGTGTCTGTCCCAGTCGAATCGAATCGAACGATTGTTTTATCGAGACGCCATCGCCTCGTTTCCATTCGCCTTCACTCGACTCCATTCGCCGTCACTTCGAAACCAAGAAGAACTTTCATTTCGTCACGCTGGCTCCCGTGATTTAAGTTCTATCTTTGTCGTCCTATATAGACTTTTGTATCTTATCTAACCGCTGAACGTTAGCGGAAAGAATGCAATTTGTCGATCTTTCGCTCGTAGTTTCTTCGAGAAAATTTTACTGAGCAAATGAAGAACTGTTGCGGTGACTGAGGTCAGTCCTGCGACACCTGTCAATTTCGCGTCTTTTCAAATCCCGCGGCGTTTTAATCTTCGAGAGCTGGTGCCGGTCGGATTAACTTCATTTCATCGCGTGTAACAACTTTCGTCGATTGATTGATTGACGATGGGCTGCATTCCGCCGAGGTCTGTCGTTAATTTCATTCTGAATTCATTCGTGTTTCATTCCACGTGTACGAGCAAGTTTAATTCCCTGCGTAAAATATGATTCCACGGGAAATATGAAATTCGAAAAGGTATTATGGCCACTGTTCTGACATCTGTCATAATTTTTATTTCTCGTTCGGAGAGATTCCTGTCGCGCGTGAAAAACTGTTCAATTTTTAAGAAAAATTGCATCCATTCGTTTCCAGTGGCGTCGACCTTTTTCGTTTCGAAACAATCTCCTCCTGATTTGATTAACGTTTAGTCTTCATTTGGTTAAATGAAGTGAATAACAGTGTGAATAATATTTTTAAACTAACTCGCATATTTCGAAACCTAATAAACTTCGATTTTAATTCCATTTTAGTTCCAGCAAAAAAAGCCTTTCAGGCAATCTGACGAATTTCAATTTCATTGAATGTTTTACGACCTCCGCGTGACTTTTTTTTTCTCTCTCTCTAGAATATTCTTCTGCGTTGTAAACAAACTTTTTGTCTTGTTTCACGAGTCTTTTACGTTTTAAACAAACATTTCCAGCATTCATTTCGATGCATTACGCAATTCTGTTGTTTGTTATTTGCTCCGACTGTTTATCTCGGAATTCTGTATTTTGCAGATTTATCACCACGATATTAACATTTCCAACGATTAATGTTCAATCCGATTAAAATCTTCATTCAATTTGGAATCTTAATGTCAACTTGTAATTAAACAGCCATTTAATCCACGTTTCATAACACGACGCTCAATTTCCAAAATTCCAAAATTGAAAAAATAAAAAAAAAGAGAAAAAAGAAATCGAACTGAAGTGAATCGTAAAATTCGATCGTAGAGGAGGACATTGATCATCGAACGACGAGCGGTCAAGAAATCGTCGACGATATCCCGCAGACGTAAATAGCAGAGAACGATTCCAACAGACATAATTACGCATCAGCTATCTTGGGTAGAGCTAGAGTTGGCACATGTCCACGAGATGTTCGAAATGCACAGACTATCGTAAATATGAATGATGATCGTGATACCGTAAATTACCTTGTCATCCTATGACGTTCTGAACATTCGAAAATAATCGCGGGAGAACCTTTGCCCGCGTGCAACTGTTCCCGCGTCACTCGAAATATTATACTTCTAAACTCTCGTTAACAACAAAATATTTCACACGTGACGCACGTACGCGCGAAACATATCGTCAATCACAATGATTTTATTTCTGCGTTAAAAAAAAAAAAGAAAGAAAAAAGGATTGTTCAATTCGAATTTAATTTTCAAGGGACATCTTCGTGACAATAAAAATTCAAAGAACGATTGAATATTCTCAATTTCATTCATTTATTTTCATATACTGCATCATTGTGTATTCTTCTCAATTTCGTTTATTAATTTTATTTATTTATTTATTTTTTCAAACGTCCGTAATTCGCTGATATTAAAAGCCATCGGGTTGTGATTATAATTGCCTTGTTTCGCGAGTCGTTGGTTTGGAAATATTAAAAAAAAAAAAATCACGGAAATTTTAATTTTTCGTCGTTCGGAAGTTACTTCCATTTTCACTCTTTTTTTTTTTCTTTTTGTTTCTTTCGTTTTCGAGATCGTCGAACTCTCTCCCAATTAAATTGCTTAAAAAAAAAAAAAATGATTTGACGTTTCTCTCGCTGCGCTAATTAATAAAAATAAAAAAGACGTGAAAATGTACGAATCAGGGAAAAAAAATTTCGCCAAGTCCAATTAAAACTTCTGCTCCTTGAAATCTTGCTCATCCGGCAGTAAAGGGAAGACAAAACGAGACAAAACGAAATCGAAGATAACAAGAGAGTCAGAAGAGAATTGTTCGCACGAAAAGATACAATGGAGGATCAACGTTTGATTCTCTCAGCAAATTGGTCAGAAATTACACTTATTCTAGATATTGCGTTAGTCATTTGTTCCATTTATTACATTTGAATAGTAAAACGAAGTGTTGCCTGTTCCACGTGTTTAATTAAACTAAGCGAAAAATGTAACCGTTGCAAATGAAACAAAATCTGTCTGGTTCAAAATAATTTGAAATAGGAAATAATCGACGCCCATTTTCGCCGATTCTGACGGTCATCGAAATCGGCAATTGTCGAAATGCCTGACGCGAGACTGATCTATCCGCAGTTCATTATGGTTTCGACTGGTAGCCACTTGAGGACGGATTAACGGGAGTCTGAGAGATAATCTCGCAAAGTCGAGTTATCGAAGATAGCGCGAGGTAATAGGCTCAACGTCTCTATTGCCCGGCGTTAAATTGATCGACACCTCTCGAAACGAGATTTTAACGGGATGGAAGGAACAAAATCCCGGTCTAATAACGCGTTCGCCGGTGAAATGAATCGTCAAATCGAATTACGCACTTGTGTAGCACGATTGTCAATCGTGATGAAATTCTTAATTGCCCGAGTCGATCGCTCTCGACTTTCATTTTGTAAAATAATTTTGTA